AACAAACTGTTCTCTCACCTCTGTGGATACTGGTTTTTGCCGAGTAGAGGGAGGGTGAGCAAGTACGCAGCCGCAGTGAGGTGCTTTCTCCGGTCAAAAGTGTCGCACGGCTAGCCGCATGCCTAACCATAACCAATATTTGTCTGCGGCATGTCACTTCTAGTTCTCTCTACCGCTGAATACTGTTCCGCTGTGAAACCCTTGTCTTGTCGCAAATTCATACTGCCTCTAAGAGAGGACAACGCGGCCCAGGTCTCACGGATACTGTCGGTCCACGGGAGCTTTCTCTGCCTTTCGCTTTTCGCTTCATCCATTCCCCTGTTTCCTTCCTCTGAATGTTCGGACAGAAGATGAGATGGGAAAACATTTCTGGAACCTCACAGCGAGAGAGAGCATCCGGTTGACAGATGCCTTGTAACCCGGGCGCAGCCGGAGGACTGTATGCGGGTATTTCTAAGGTAGCGCAAAATTAGCAGCAAAATTTAGTAGCATCAATTCAATTTTAGCATTGGAGTACGAGCGAAACGCTGCTTACCTTTGAGCTCCGTTCTCATGTTCTTTTGAGCCGAGAAAGTGACATGATACTGCAGCTGCGGACCAGTTCAACTTGCACTTGGAAAAGGTCCACTCAAGAGGTGAGGGTACAGCTTATCTTTGACACTGATAGTCGATTATTTCAATATTTCATGTTTTTCCCCATGGACGGGTTCTCCACAGCTCAAAATTCGCTTCCCATAAGGCAGGCTTGCTGACTACTTTGCGCTATTGCTTGTTGACTTGGTGTCCTCTTACAGTATCCCCTCCCCCCTTCGATCTAACGGCGCAGTGCTCTGTATAAGGCAGCGTTCAGACTTCGCGACTGCAGCGCTGTGGACGCGATCTATGCGCATGCTTTCGACTGCATCGAATGCGCGACCGAAGCGCTGCCGTCGCGAGGTCTGAACGCTGCCTAAGCGCAAACGATAGCACTGGTAACCTATAAAAAAAGTAAATGGGTTTCAACAGCGTCTTATAATTTGGTTATTTATAAAACGAGAGCTCCTAGGGCTTGAAAGGTTTGAAAGCAAAGGAATTCTGCCCCTTCCAAGTACAAATTCACCCCGCTCTTTATTTGTAGTCCAATCCGAATCGAGTTATTTATATGGTTAGCAAATATGGGAAGAGGACCTCTACTAGACCTTCCCGTAGCGTTATTTGACTACCAAAATCACATATCACATACAGGCAGCGTCACTTTGATGGGAGCGTTTTGCAATTCTCGCAACTAATAAAAGAAATAGCAAGAGCAAGATAGAGAGGCGCTATCCCCCACCCCCCTCGGCCAAGTCGAACAGCGCCTGGATTATGCTCAACCGACCATTGTGATCCGCAGGTATCCAACAATAGCGTCTTTGAGCAAATTGCTGAGGCATCTCGAAATCAGCGAAAAAATTGAACCAATACGATGTTCAGGATGATGTCGCTTGACGGCTGGTCTCCTAGGAAGCCTCTTGAATCGTCTTTGATCTTTCACCTGAAAAGAATAGAGCAGTGGATTTTGTTTCCTGGCAAATGCTTTACTGCTTTTTCATATCTTTAATCGGAACAGATAAGAGTGAATCTCTTAAAATTATTTACCAAACAGGGGGTTAATCGGTGCTAACGTATTTGGGGGGGACCACGCGGCTCGCGGCGAGTGATGACTCATCGACTCTTCTGCTTCCTCCTCGGCAAAATAGAAGTAATTATATTTAGGACGAGGATATAACACCATCTTAGCTATATTCAATTGTTAAAATAGTCAACGCTGAAAAGTGTGAGGAAAAAATTGTAGGCTGGAAGGTTCTACTGCAAAAGATTGCTGCCTGCTTGTTGTTTACTGTTATTGTTGACTACGACAAATCAAACACTTGTTTTCAGCTTCTGTGGGGTTTCTTAGCAAATTCCCGGTGTATCTTGTTTGTTTTATTTCCATTTGGCCGCTGAATGGCGCTTCAAGTATGCCTATTAGTGAAGAGCCGATGAGTCATCACTCGCCGCGAGCCGCGTGGTCCCCCCCCCCAAATACGTTAGCACCGGTTAATCTCATCGGATAGTGACCTACCAAGTAACTATCTACTTCTTCTTCATCGCATTTCACCTTGACAACGAATTTGTAATCGTGAGAAAGGCACTGTAATTTCACATAATTGGCCAAGCATTTGTAGAGAAACAGTGTTTCATATACGTATATCCCGATTATGGCGAGGACGTGGCTGCGAACCTCATTAAAGGCAGAACCCGCGATTATTGGCCACCTCAGATAGTGGTATTGGGGTTTCCATATAGACGACAAGGGGTTGTGTAACTCGAGAGTGAAGAAAAAAGTACGAAAAACGTGCCTTAGATACAGCCCCATTTTGATCCCACTCTGTACGTGCTCAATGAGCAACACTACGCCCTCATCTGCACAGTTGATTCCCCGATAAGAACTCTACGACCGTACAAGTGACGATTTTCATGCTTTTTCGTCCTGCAGCTTCGTTTTTCACTGAAAGCGGGCCTTGAAGGCGGAGTCTGGAGGCGGAGTCACTGGAAAAAAGGAGGCGTCACTGAACCTATATTGCGCTATAGCGCCCCTCCCTTAGAATTTTTTGCCGCGAAACCGGTACAAGGTTGTTCGTCGCGGACCACACTACCTCCTGACGCCATATTTTCAACTTCGATACCTGATCGCGGACCGTGCCTCTAGACCATGGCGTGGGACGAAGGATCAGAGGATCATTCTACTGTAGGCCCCTGTGCTGGACAAAGCCTTTATTGCCCCAAAAGTACGGCATCCCACCAAAAAGTGTAGCTCTAGCCGGTTCAAATAAAGTACACAGCTACCACTCTTCAGATCAATAGTATACAGAAAACAATGCTCCATATGCGTAAATTCCTTGTTCGCGTTCAAAAATAGGCAAACTTCGGCAACGGGGGTGGGGGGGGGGGGAAGATATCCGCACTTCCGCTGCTTCACTAGTTCTGATTCACCATTTTCACTCCGGTGATACCTGAGAACTCCTGTGAAGTTCGAGCAAGCTCCTCGAGCCACCACAGCGAAACTGTCAACTCTTGTAAGCCCATGAAATGGATTCTCTAGATGGGTCGACCCACGTTGGGAAGTAGCAAATGTGCAGAATGTCCCCCCTCCGTCGCCGAACTGCCTCAGCAGAAGTATAGGTAAACAGAACAGTGCATCAGCGCCTAGCCAGTGATTTCAGATGGAGCAACGTAGGTAACTGACCTCACGTATCACCAACTTATCAATAACTCTTCTTTTCATCAGCCTCTCGTTGTGTTGAACAATTTCAAACATCTCGCGATTCAGCAGTCGACATTTTTCAAGATCATGGCGAGGAAAGATACTGAAGGGTTTTTATCTGCAACTCCCGTGGCAGCCGATTCCAGGGAAAAATCCCCTGAAACAGTTGGACTTTAGAGCAATCGAAAGAATAGGTTTAGCCTAAAGGTCTGCTGTTCGAGAATTAGAAGGTTTCCTGATCACATAAATTGAACAGCTAACCCTCAGACGACCCTCTCGCGTCGGGATTTCCTCCTCCAGTGCCATTCCCCCTCATCGCCATCTCCCATCCTATCCACCATCTTCGAAACCTTATCTCAACTTCCTACCACTTTTTTCCAAAAATTATCCACTTTTCACAAAAACTGCCATCGAGTGGGAACGGAAGGAAAGGAGGAGGTGGTCTGCCATAGAGTGACAGGGTCACGTTTTTACAGACTGGACGGGTGCCACCGTACTTATGCTGGCCACGCAACAGCGCCTATGCGTATAGCTGCGGCCATACTTTACGGCAGCCTCCACCAGCGACTACCACGTCATCAGCGACCATCAGCGTTTCGAGCGTCCGTGAGCGACTAGGAGAGTATAGATCTCGATCTGGCGAACGGCAGCGTATACCAGCGTCCACCAGCGACCAGGAGTAGGAGGGTAGCAGACTGCCGATAGAGCATGGGGAACCAATAGGGAGAAGACGGCTGGGTTAGGCGTCGCGAAATTGTGGCGTGTGCAACCGCACCGTACTACTACACGATACCGTACTCCTGGACGCTAATGTCTTCTATCGGGGCTAGGCTTAGGGCGCAGACGATTACAGTCGCCGCGAACTACTTATT